GCCCAGTAACTACTAAAAAATACAGTGATGATGGCACAATACAAAATGATAAATATACAATAGTGATATTTAGTCTCTCAATCAGATAGTTTAGTCTACTTACACTCAGCATATGATACCCGCTTGACAGTGATCCGTGAAGTACACGCTCGTTGGATCAACGAACTTTATGTATATTTAATTTTAAAAGGGAGGCCAGATGACATAAGGAAAGGCTTTGAGAAGTCGGGTATAACTGATGCTTGTAGATCAGACTTTACGGTGGATGATAATCCATTTGCAGATCTTGTTTAAATCTCTAGCTATCCGAACCTCTAGCCATTTGTTTTATTAGTAGCTGTTAGCTATATTCCAGTTATTTCTATTCATTTAAAATATAAGCCTTTTTACTTGGTCAAGCCATGAATGACAGATTAGAAAACTAAAATTTCAAATATTATTTCACTTGGATATGAAGAAAAAGCCATCTTTCTATAGATCTCAGGGCCACAGGCCAAATTCCAAAAGTTTGGTTAGCAAAAAATTTAGCAGACGGAAAAGATTTATGCAATTAATTTGGTCTGCAAAAAAATTTGGGCGAGAGGCCCGCTCAAATTTTTTGTCGCCCAAATTTTTGGGAATTAAGGTATTTCAAAGGATTTCAAAGGATTTCAAAGGATTTCAAAATAAAATGATCATTACAATAAACATTGTGTCGGATCTAAATTTAAAAAATAAAGATAAAATGAAAGTCAAAAACGAAAAAACCGAAACCTGTCCTGAAAAATGCACGGTTGACGGTTATAGTCTAAAGAGTTTAAAAACCGAGCTATTCTAAAAAGGAATGTTCATGACGCGAACAACCAGTCCTTTGTGTCCATGCCTAAGATCCACACATAAATTCCACACTAAATCAAAAGTGTGAAACGCACACGAAAAATAACACACTGTCGGATCCACGTTTCGCATGTTGAGTCCGTGAGTCATGTTGTAGGTCCTTCCTTTTCTTTTCTGTCACTCGGGGGAACCTCCGCTTGTTCACTTTACTCAAGAATCTGGCAGTTTCTCTGATCAATAGGATATCCTTGAAGAGGTCGGCAAAGGTCTCCGCTCCAGAGGTGATCATGGTTCTCGCCTGCTGACCTATGTTTCGCCTCAGGTCGTCGTAAAGCGAACAATCCGTGAGAACGTGTTTCTCATCTTCAATGATCGGCTCAAACATTGGTAGTTCGGCCAGTATACCGACAGCTTCAAGGTCTGATGAAGAACAGTGCTTACAAATGCGATTGAGCGGATTTTCACGGTTGATGGCGTATCTACCTATCAAGCAAATTTCGTCATAACTTGGGATCGTTACCTGAGTTAGTAGCAGTTCTAGAAGCAGTTATAAACTTAACCATTAATTGAGAAATTAAAAATCATTAAAAGTCATTCTCTTCATGAAAACAGGTACAGACAAAACCCTTAGACTGACGTATACGGTGAAATTACTAGTGAGATAAGGACACGTTTTTTTAAGTGCGGTAAAAATGACTTTGAGTGCCATGACACTTTTGACAGTGAAAGTGAAAAGACTAGTAACTAGAAAGTGTTGCAGAGAAATGCATTCAATCTTAATTTAACGAAAATCCATTAGTTAGTTAATATGTCAGTATTAACTGTGCCAGTTTTCAGCATTTTGGACTATAATGCAATGTTTAAAAAGCCCATAAAAACTGAATTTTGCGACTTTTCTGTTTAAAATTCACAATATGTCTCAGAATTATTCAAAAATTATTTGGATTTTGGTCGTAATACTTAAACTGTGCCCAAAATGAACAAAAAAATCATTGATTTGGTAAAATTTTGAGTTTAGATTAGTGAAGTCATTCCCTATCTCATTTTTAAATCCCGGGATTCTGGAATCCCGACCGAAATAAATCCCGGGATTCCCGAAAATCAGGGGAAAATTTACCGGATTCCCGAAAATCGGGAATTTCCCGGGATTTCCCGGAAATCGGGATTCCTGAACATTGAAAGTTTGTTAAAAACAAATGGTGCCAATCCTGGAGTTCGACTACGAGTTTCATAAAAGTACTTGAAGTTGAAGCAGTATATGCTTTCTCCAGAAATCTTATTTCCAGTATCTTAATTTTGTGTAATCTCATCTATAGTAAGCTTATTAATTGGTCACTGGACAAAAATTCTATCAAAAAATTAAAATTTGGTGCAGAAAAGTGTATATCTAAAAATGGTTAAAGAGGGGTGTTATTCAGTATCCTTGATCTCTGCACACGTGATGCCCATATAAGGTAATACTAAGGTCTTACTCCGCATATTACAACTTGAAAAATGAAAGCAGTGAGATCATGCAAGCGTTGTTTTGTACTATTGTTTTTTTACTATCTTTTTGTACTATAGTTCTGCCGTTTTCTGACAAAAGTGCTTAAGTAACATTTTGGAAATTTCGGGTGTTTTGGTCTAACTTTTGTTTTTGGGTCAAGAACTATCCCTGAGGACCATTGGATACATTCGCCGACCCCCCGAAACCCCCTTTTTGGAATCCCCTAAAATGCAAAAAATGGTAATTTTTCTGAGAAAAGTGCTTAAGTAACATTTTGGAAAACGGGTGCCGTTTATTTCAAAAATGGTGCCATTTCGGGGACTGAAAATGGTGGCATTGTTTTCTACGTCCAAAACTGGCCTAGTGACAGCAATTTGGTGATCGTGGGTCTTTTGGCCTGGGAGAAAACAATTTATGTCACTTAAGCACTTTTGTGAAAACGGGCTCGTTTTCTCACAAAAGTGCTTAAGTGCCATTATACGTTTAATTAAATGTTGATTCTGCCAACTGAAACTATATAATCGGTACTAACAAATCTAAATTTCCACGACGTATCGATTGGTGATGGTCATAAACTTCAGAAACGCCAGCTTCGCCGTCAAAATTGCCGATTTGTCAATGCAGAAAGTTAAAAAATATACGTCATAATTTGCTTTAAAATTTTTTATTCTCTTATAAGTTGAGACTGGCGGGATTATCGACAGGCAAGGGAACATTACCAAAGAGATAGAAGCGATTTGCCTCACTGCTCCTTCTCTGTTGATATGGAGAAAGTTCTTACTTCTTTTACTACCACACATGCCGGAGTACAAGGAGGCGATTTTTACAAGACGCCTTGTCACATTTAACGAGACCTTCGCGAGGCTGGGGTCAGACGGAGCTCCTTTAGCGATTCTTTGGAATGAGTTAATTGCAGGAAGGAAAGATGAGAATGTGTCCTTGACTTGGATAAGGGCAATAAAACATTTTGTCGCAGGCAAGATTGATGGTAGCAGGGAGATCATTTTTTGGGCAGACAATTGCTCTGCTCAAAACAAGTGTTGGACTTTATTTACTGCCCTATCACTATGTTCAATTATCAACAGCCCAGATGTTGACCTGGACAAGATAACGGTCAAGTATCTAGAGCCAGGGCACACCTTTATGAGTGCAGACTCATTCCACCATAAAGTGGAGTTGTCCATTAAACAATCAGGTCATCTTCATGATTATAAGGACTTTGTTCAGGCAGTTGGACAGGTGGGTACTGCGATAAGCATGAACTGCACAGACTTTGAATCGTGGCCAAGGTACTACGGAACAAGCAACCGTTGTAAAACTGAGCGACCTCTCTTAAAAGATGTTAAAGTTGTAAGTTTCCAGCGTGGGTCTGTAGAAGTGGAATGGAAAACAAATCATGACGAGGTTTCCTTTCATTTCACTCCATTTCTCAGACAAAAAGACGAGAGACTCATTTCCATAGGTTGCAAAATAGCTTTCGCCCAGGAAGAGCCCCGGGGGATAGCTACTCCCAAAAAACAAGACATTATACGTAAACTGCACTGTGCAGGCTTATGGCCCCGAGTAGTAGGGTATTCTGGATGAACTTGCCTGATAGTACAGATATAATATAACAGATCTTAATCGAGTGTTTGACTAAAAATCATCTATTTCTTGTATTATTTACCATTTATTTATGTACAGAATTACTTACAATTAAATGTTACATTTTTATACGCTTGTTTTTCTTTGCCTCGCGTTACGATATCAATAATTCGCAAATCATTGGTCTTTATGAAGAAAGCCTCATCTGAGTTCTTAATTTAATTTCTAAAGAAAGAAACTTATTTATTATTATCCCGTACTTTCACCAATCACCTCTTCGTTGAAATGCTGGTAGAATTCCGACTATTTTTTAATCCGCTGGGGAGAAGGGAGTGTTTTTGTGTTCTTGAACCACCACCAATCAATTTGTCGTAAAATTTTAGGTCAGAATGATCGCAGATAAAGTTCCCACTAATGTGGCTGTACTTAAGCACTTTTCTCAGAAAACGAAATTTTCAAATTTTCTATTTCAGCGTGTCCCCTATTTACAACCAATGTTTCATCACAACAGTTTTAGGCTAATTTTTTGTTTTACTTTCGATGACCAATGGTTTGAACGGGTCATTTTCATCAGAACATGGAGCTTTTTCTGATGTGGCTGTACTTAAGCACTTTTCTCAGAAAACGAAATTTCAAATTTTCTATTTCAGCGTGTCCCCTATTTACAACCAATGTTTCATCACAATAGTTTTAGGCTAATTTTTCGTTTTACTTTCGATGACCAATGGTCTGAACGGGTCATTTTCATCAGAACATGTAGTATTTGCCGATGTGGCTGTACTTAAGCACTTTTCTAAGAAATTCAAACTATAATTTGTGATTTTGAGGCACTTTCCGAGAAGTTAGGATGATGAAACCTTGTCATAAGTCTCAAAAGTCGACAAAGTACCTTTGAAACATAGTGGGTGCAGTTTAAATTGGACAGTAGCTAGCCCAGAGCAATTACAGAATTGAAATCTTTAAAGTCAATTTGCACAAAATGAACCTTGTGTTACTTAAGCACTTTTGTCAGAAAACGGCAGAGTTTTCATTAGAACCCTTGATCAATGATGTTTCTTTTTTGAAAATTTATTTATCATACATTGTTTTATCATAAACCACAAACTGTCACAAATTCGGTTAAACTTCATATAATATAAAGTAAGTATACAATCAGTACATATTCATCGAATTAAAGTTACATTATAAAATCTTCATAGGCATCCAGCGCCTTTGATTATAAACTTCAGTAAAAATGTAAAAAATTATAAAAATCACTCAAAAGTTATCTCTTAGATGAAAAGGCAAATTAACACTTGGGTAACTGTGTTTAGATAAGAGTCCTGGGGCACGAGATTCTTCTGCAGGATGGACCCAACATTCAACAATTATACTGATATCAAAATGTGAAAGATTGACAAATAATTCTATAAAATGTGAAAATTCTGAAAAAAATGATTATGTGCTTCGAAACAATTCACAATTATTTACTCAGTCTGACTAAAGCTTTAAGACCAAACTCTATAATTATAACAATTTAATAAATTCTAAATTCTGTCATTTTGATAAAAAGCTAAATACATGATACATTCCAGGATAAGAGTTAAGGATTGAAAATGAAAGTTATGTATCAGCTAAATATTGACCATAGATCGAACCAATTAATTTTAAATTTCCTCCGAAAAACCCGATATACCAGGAGTTTTTTACTTGCCCTGATCATGTTTAAAAATTCAGATTCAAAACTCCAATCGGGTGTACTGTACTAACTGTATCATATTTAAACAGTTATTAAACTAATCAAATGGTAAATTTCTTCTGGCTATAATGCCCCGATTCATAAATTAACGTGACTTATAGTTTATTCTTACCAATAATCTTAATTAACTAATCTTAATTACTTGATCTTAATTGTCCAACAATTTTAATTATCATATTTCCAATCCCACCACAATTCTCAATATTCCGATTTACCATTTTCAAACTCAAACACAACAACGAAAATTTCTTCATCCCCAATAAAACAGAAGCCACAAAAACTTGTCACTGCAAAGAACAGAAATTCCGTTTGTCAGTACGATCCGCATTTTCAAGGACATCTTTCATTATGATACTTGCATCGTAGTCAAAATGTGTGTCGTCGTATTGATCCAGATCGCCGTAGCTGAAATTAAGTATCATGATATTTACCACTATTCACTACACTCGTAAATAAGGTATTTATAAATACGTTTCGATTTTTTATGATGAGTTAGGTAATAAATAACCTGGGAAGAAGATCGTCCAGCCTTAAGTTCTTCCTCTCGTAAAACAAGATGTAAGCAGGTTCTGATAATACACGTTTCTTTGTTGTTTTCTTCACCTGTGTCATACAAGGGTTATACTAACACGTAAGAGGGACAACAATATTTATTTATTTTGCGATTTTGACACTTGTTGTTGGTCCAAATTGTTTCCATTCACCATTTTTGCTAAGCAAAAAAGTAAAGGATGGTTAGTTTGGTTATTAATGACATGGATAGTTTGGTTACTAATAACATGGTTTGTTTGGTTACTAATGTGTTTAGTTTGGTTACTAATGACATGGTTAAATTGGTTACTAATGTGGTTAGTTTGGTTACTAATGGTGAAACGGTGAAGAAGAAGGACTTTAGAGATCGTAGTAGCTGGGTCTAGATATGTCATGTGACATGTGCACGGTGTGTAAACTAAAAACTAATGTATTTTACTTCCATCTTATTACTACTAGACAATTTTTAACCCCCCTGCCCCCTCCGTAATCAGCTTTACACATAGCTATTGTGTCAAAATTACACTAGCGTAATCATTTGGAAACCCCCCCCCCCCTCCCTCGGCTGATTTCTTAATATATGAACGCTCCCATTGTAACATTTTCCTTAGCACCCTTCAATACCTTCTGTAAGACAGCCCCGTGACTAACCTCAGATAAAAAGTCTCTGACGTTCAGACAGAAATAAAATAAAAAAGCAGGGCCCAGTGTGGTTAAATTATAATGAATCCTATTAATGTACGAACTACGATATAATGTATTTTTCAGGAATGCAATTTGTACGTGTAATCAAATTATACGGACCACCTTCAGATAGAAACCTTGAAAACACACAGCTGCACTATTAAGTTTTTGTGATACTCCGAGGAGCATACTGATTGTAATGTAATGTATGAGGTTATGGAACTGCAAACCGGAGAAATATCCGGAGAAATATCAGTAGACGATCTCCGTCTAATAATTTGGCATAATATCCGGCCATGGAACTGGGGGGAATGACCATTTTAAAATCTAGCGGATATTTGATCTCGTCACTTAATCAGTGATATCGTCACGTAAAAGTTCGTTCGTCAAATTTGTGTATTCTTCTAGTTCTACTTGTCTAGTAAACAACCATAACGGGACCATAACAAAATTCAATATAAACTAAAACAAGGATTGTTAATTAGTAGAGGTAAAGTGAGATTTGTGTACTAACGATCAAATAATGTTATCGAATGTGGGTGTAACAATACATGACTGAATTTTCAGAGTAACAATCAAACTACCGGGGTATTCCATATTTAAAAAGGAGTTTCAGCAGATATAAAATATTTTACGTAAAATTTAAGTTCGTTTGTTACGTTAATTTTAAAGTTCGTTCGTCAAATTTGTATCTTCACAGTTCACACGGAGTTATCTTTAACAGTGAGATTGAATAACGTAGCTACTTCCTACTTTGTGGCTTCAGTTCCAGCCGGTGATTAGCAGGATTGGAGTGATATCTTCTCAAGGGGATTAATAATAATATGTAATAGTTGTAAATTTGAACTAGAATCAACCTGGAGGAGAATTTTTAATTTTTTGCAGCATTATGAAATATTCACGTTCTATTTAGTTGGCGAGATTTCATAAAGTATAATTTATACTTACTTATAAACTTATTTACTCATGACTTATGACTTATGAAAAATTATCATTCAATGATAAATTTCGATCACTATGTATCTATGTGTTTTTACGAAGTGATTTTATAGTCTATTTGAAATTACAGAACAACTTTATACATTGATTTCTGACATCTGAAGACTTGATTTAATGTTTAAACTGCAAGATTTTCAATTAGGGTTTTTGGTGAATTCTTCGCGATTTCATTAAAAATTCTAAAACTAATTTCTTCAGAAAGAGCTTAAAACAACATAAACGGTAAACCAATACAATCACAATCTTATTAAGATTCATTCACAATGACGTGAATCCAATAGTTAGGCACAAAGTCCTCCTGTTCATTCTCCCTGAAATCTGGCAGCAGCCGATGCTCAGCTTCCTCTCCAAAAACTGTTTTAAGCAAGGCAGTAAACCCATCTAAAGTGTGAGGGTACATGGGGATGTTATTCAACTCCAATGTAGGAACCATCTTCCCATCTCTTTCCATCAACTTAATATCTGAGTCCCCCTCCAGCTCAGTGCCAGATACGTCCACATCCCATGATCTGAAGGTCATCTTAGCTGCCACTTCTTCCTTCTCGATAAGATCTGCTTTGATGTTGAATACCCTGTCTGAATTGTAGTAAATATTTCCGTGTGAATTTGGAGGAAATGTTTTATGAACTAAAGTGTAATCGTAGTTACGGTGATCAATAATTAATATCCCACCCTTCTTCAACAAATCCTTGAAGTTTTGAAGAGCTTTGAGAAGTGTTTTGTTCCCTCCTTCGAAGTCTGGAAGTGTGCAGAAGGAATTACCGATACAGACGATAGCATCATACCCCACTGCTGGGTGATCAACCTCTGCTGACTTCAGATCTAGCCAGTCTCCAAACCCGATCTGCCAATCAGCCAATTCCTCACGCTTCTGCTTTGTTTGCCGTGCTTTTTCAAGGAAATAATCTTCTGCATCAGTACTAACCACCTTGTACCCCTCCTCTAGCAACATCACACTGTCAATCCCAGTTCCACAAGCACAATCATACACCGTCAGAACAGATCGCTCCTCAAGGATCTTCAGGAGGGTTCCTTTGTAGTTTGAGAGTCGAGCGTCCACATCACCAACGTACAAATGCCAGATTCTAGCTTCCCTCCCATCAGCGTACGGTCGTTCGTCCTTACTCTCATAGTTCACTGCCATATTACAAAAGACTCGAAACTCACAGAGTGTTGATGATACACGAAACAAACAGAAAATTAATGAATAGAGGAAACTGTAAGGTGAGCCCCTATTGTATAATTAGGTATGTGTAGGAGACAAGAATGTTATTGTAATCGAATTGTTATTGTAAGAATGCTATTGTAATGTAAAGAATGTGGGTGTACAAAAAAAACGTATTTAACAGTGTAAGAATTAAAACATCTCGGGTACACTTGTTCGTCCAAGTACCTAGTGGTCGACACTTTGACAGTCATCACACTTAAAACACTTCAACACTTCAAAGCTTCCAATAAAATTCACAAACATACTGCACTGGTATAATATACTATTGTAAATGGAGACCATCCCACGTTTACAAATTCCGTGCCAAAGTAATTTGTAGCGTCAACACCCCAGTCAGGACCAGGACCGGCAGGAACCCTCTGAGGGGTTTCCCTGGCAACCAAGATCCTTCAGGAGTAGGCAGACCAAAGAAGTAGCGTAGAGATCCGGACTTGGTAATAAGGTAGGTGATTGTTATGATAAGAACGGAGGTAATGATAAGCATTATCGGAAAAGTTCGGAGGTAAGGAACCCAAAGAGCTCCTGCGGCGAACGCATCCAAAAGTTGTCGATGAATCAGATAGAAAGGCATAGCCATTACTCTGCATTTCTTGTGCCAATCCTGGGGAGTTGTGAAAATTTCCCTCGCTAAGGCTATAGACCCGATGAGAAACAGCCACTGTCCCATGCCTCTCGTGAAGCCACCTAATAAACCTGTTATAAAACGGTTTTTATGAGTGTCTTCACCATAGATAACCATGCCTATCAAACTTGTAAACGCCTGGTTATTTTCATTGCTTTTACTACTTATACCGTAAATAACGATACCGACTCCAAACACTGAACAAAGCACTGTTCCAACCAAGAAGCAACTCCAGGACCAAACCTTGCTGTGTTGTCTGATATCTCTCTCCGCCGCTGCTGTAGCGTAACCCATCAAGAAAATTACCAAGTAAGAGAAGATAGGAAATGATCGGAAGTACCCACCGTAAAGAAGATGAGCCGTCTCCACAACTCCTATCACTATGCCTGGTATGAGAGCAAGCCTGATTGGTCCACCTAAATACCATTTTACCGCAGAGACGAACTCTTCTGGAGTTAAAGCTGGCTTGAGAAGGAAATTCAGGCAGCAGAAGTATCGAGTGAGAGCGCTAAATGGTTTCACTGTGCAGCAGCAAGTAGTGGAGCCACAAAATGACAGCGTGGTGGTCTCAGCAGTGTTGTGAGCTGGATGAAATGTTCTGAACCAGAAAGTGAATAATTGGGCGAAGATGAAGAGGTACAAGAGAAACCATGACTGATGAAAGTATGGAAATCTATAAAAGCCTTTTGCGTACTCCCAATATGATTCCTCTACTAGAGGAATATCACGAGGAGCAAAGTAAGACATGGTGAAAGGGAACTGAGTTACCGAACACAGGAACAGAGTTGGAACCAGAAGCCGGTGTACTCTCTCGTCCCTGAACTTAGTCTCCGATCTCCGGAACAGAGCAGAGTAAGCGTTTTGTCCGGACAAATAGAAGAACATAGGCATGTTCCAAGCGTGCATGAACCCAGTGAACCAATGTACGATGGGCCCGAGGTAGATAGTGGTGAAGGGATCCTCCGAGGTAGACGAGTTTATCAAGTATTGGTAGCGCACTTCATGGTGGAGGTTACCAGTAGGTGTGTAGATTTTGCAAAGATGGAACAAGTAGATACCGTAAGTTAGGAATATCATCAACACATCAATATCTGCTCTTCTGCCGGGCGGTTTGTGTTCCTCTTCCAGGGCCTTCTCCTCGTCTGCAGAACTCTTGGAGAGGATGTAGCTGGTCTCGGTGTAGCCATTTGTAGTTACGCTTGTAATCGGCGGTGATTCATCCATCTTCGGGGGAGATTCAGCCATCTTGAACCCTTCTCCAAATAATGTAAATTTAGTTGATAATGGTAGGCAGATGACGCAAATTTTGTCACAATTGTATTCAACAAGCTTCATAGGACAAACTGGAATTAAAAGATTATATTTAATGATACAAAACAATAACTTGTAAACCCCAGTATCGTTATGAATCGGTATTCAGTACACTTACTGAGCTTGGAAAAAATCTATTTAATGCAAAGATTGACATAATGATATAGGCAGCTGTTGAAAACGTAAAGTTTTCTCCATCAGTCGATCATAAAGGTCGGTCGATAGATCCGTTCAGATCGGTTTAAAAAAGATTCAGTACCATAATAATCATCTTAAACACGTACCAGTGCAAGTGATCTAACAAAAGCAACACAATTATCTGTAAGATGTATTCAAATTTCAAACCAGGTAACTACAAACTAGGCGTGCTGACAGTTCGAGTTATACGCATTATATTTGGAATACTCTAATTCTTTATATAATTATTATACCGCTAAAATATCCGGAGATAGTATTATGACAACGTATGAGATAATAATACAGTTGAACTTATCTCGCGCCTTTTTTCACGCCGACGTATTTGTCGTGGCGGCCTTCTCCCCTGCCGCCATCAAATGCTGCTGGCGGAACATATGATGTCCAACAACTTCCTTTCTTGCCACCAATAATACCGACTAAGAACCCCCCCCCCCCCTGGCCACGCCCCCCCCCCTCCCCTCCCCTCGTGATTTCAAATGATTGATTTAAAAAATATGGATCACATCCCCAACATTGACAAGTTTCTAAACAGACGAAATAAATGATCACCGATATTTTATGACTAAAGACAACGCCTGAACAGAAGGAGATCTCACTGTAGGATATGTGCATTTACTATTGAGTAGAGATGTATTCTCAATTATCCTACATTTATTCTACATGCCGAATTATCCGCAGTCTTTGTCATCCAATCAAAATATCAAATGTTTTGCAACATTTATTCGGTGATAAAGGTTACAGAAGGTTATAATACCTAAATACCTTTATGGTATAGGATATTGAGCCTATTATACGAAGAGAGAGTATTAGATATAATATTGATTATGCCTTGATTAATTAGTTGATTATACCTTAAGAGTCAAGCTTATTTGTCAACAAAAACATGGGTTCGGCTTCAGCCGACTGTTTCAAGTATCTCAATTATTCCTCAGAAAACGGTGGGTTGATTAAATTATGGTCTACGATGGTGACAAACAAATCCACAAATGGTCGCAGAGGATGATTTCGGTATTCCGAAGTTGTAAAATATATAAAATGTTGGTCTCATCATAAAGTAGCCATAACCATATAAATTTCAGACGCGCCAATTATTTTGTCTCCCTATATTGTAGTATTCACGCAAGCTCACTGGCCAATGCTGAATACCAGTAAAGTAATTTCCGTATTATTTTGTAGAGCTATTGAGATATCACAATACCAGCCTAGTGGTGCATTAAATAATATAGCTTTACATCAAAGATGTTACACAGCAATACTCTGAAGCTATACCGAATCTTTCAGAATTTATCATAAAATATTCTCCCACAGTCCATATTTATTATCTATAGGCTCTAGCAATTTGTTATTATGTTCACGTGATATCCGGACGTCACGTGACAGTATATGCGTTGTATTGCTTTTTAACTCATCTCTCTGTAAAGGCTCAGTCGTTTCCAAGTTGCTCAAAATAACGAGTGTTTAACGAAGCAGTTGATGAGCTGTTTCGAATTTAGTCAACGTTCCGTCATCGTTCTGTCATCGTTCCGTCATAGTTCCATCATCGTTCCGTCATCGTTCTGTCATCGTTCCGTCATAGTTCCATCATCGTTGTCGACTTATCTATTATCTAGCTAACAGTTACAATCATCAGCTTAAGACTGTGCGGAAGGTATTGAGCCCCAAGTATGGTGTTTCACTAAGGCTTTTGACCTGACCAGTCTCTATAATTATACTTTAATAATTCCCCTTCTCAATAAAGAGCACAAACAACGATTCTCTTTCTAAAGGTATAATAGCCTGATAGCAAGGAGTGGCAAACTTTTAATTGAAGAACAAAGGAGCTACAGATGGCATAAAGTACAAGTCTGAACAAACGTGGTTTATCGCCACTCAATACTGAATAGTTAGTGTAGATCTTTTATATTGTCGCTTAACATTTTGTTTGGTTTTTGTTATCTGTTAAATGTTTGTTCTTTCTAATATCAGCTATTAAAGAGGTCTACACGGGCTTCTCGGTTCAATTTATCGATTGTAAATATGCCACTATCCAAATTGCACAAATTATAAATCTCGTTTGTTTACCGAAAGATAGGAGATGGCAGAGTCACACCCTGCGATCACTGGAAACCCAGAAACGCCACCAACTACTATTGGCTACACAGAGACCAGTTACCTCTTTTCAGCCCCTCTGGTCGAAGAAAACAAGCCTCGAGTGCGAAGAGCTGATGTAGACGTGATCATGATATTTCTAACGTACGGTATCTATTTATTCCATTTGTGTCGCATCTACACGCCCAATGGGACCCGCGCAGGAATAATCTACCCGAACATGTCAAACATTTCCACCTCTGAGGATCCGTTTACTACCATCTACCTCGGATATATCCTGCATTGGTTCACTGGGTTCATGCACGCTTGGAACATGCCCATGTTCTTCTATCTGTCCGGACAGAACGCTTACTCTGCTCTGTTCCGGAGATCGGAGACTAAGTTCAGGGACGAGAGAGTACACCGGCTTCTGGTTCCAACTCTGTTCCTGTGTGCGGTCACTCAGCTCCCTTTTACCCTTGCTTACTTTGCTCCTCGTGATTATCCCCTAGCAGAGAACTCCTACTTAGAGTACGTACGAGGCTTCTATAAGTCTCCACAGGTTCACCAGGCTTGGTTTCTCTTGTACCTCTTTATCTTCACCCAGGTATTCACTTTCTGGTTCAGAACATTTCACCCAGCTCACAACACTGCTGAGACCACCACGCTGTCATTTTGTGGCTCCACCGCCTGCTGCTGCACAGTGAAACCATTTAGCGGTCTCACTCAGTACTTCTGCTGCCTGAATTTCCTCCTCAAGCCAGCTTTAACTCCAGAAGAGTTCGTCTCTGCGGTAAAATGGTATTTAGGTGGACCAATCAGGCTTGCTCTCATACCAGGCATAGTGATAGGAGTTGTGGAGACGGCTCATCTTCTTTACGGTGGTTTCTTTCGATCCTTTCCTATCTTATCTTACTTGGTAATTTTCTTGATGGGTTACGCTACAGCAGCGGCGGAGAGAGATATCAGACAACACAGCAAGGTTTGGTGCTGGAGTTGCTTCTTGGTTGGAACGGTGTTTTGTTCAGTGTTTGGTGTTGGTTTTGTTATATCCGGTGAAGATAATGACGACCCCCGTATTTTTACGAGTTCAATTGGAGGCTTCACGAGAGGCATAGGACAGTGGCTGTTTCTTATCGGGTCTATAGCCTTAGCGAGGGAAATTTTCACAACTCCTCGAGATTGGCACAAGAAATTTAGAATGATGGCCATGCCTTTCTATCTGATTCATCTACAACTTTTGGTTGCGTTCGCCGCAGGAGCTCTTTGGGTTCCTTACCTGCGAACTTTTCCGATAATGCTTATCATAACCTCCGTCCTTATCATAACAATCACCAATCTCATCACCAAATGTGAGTCTCTACGTTACTTCTTCGGACTACCAACCCCTGAGGGATCGTGGCTGCCAGGGAAACCGCTCAGAGGGTTCGTGCCGGTCCTGGTGCTCTCCATGATAGTGCTGCTTCAAATTATTTTGGCACGAAATTTGTAAAAGGTTTTCACTGTACGATTGTATACTAAATTAATATGTTTCTATGGGTTTGATTTGAAGTGTTATACAATTTTGATTTAATTTTAATGGTTCGTTTAAATAATGTAAATGTACAGTGTACATGCCATAATATTCTTCAAGCATAAGGATTGCGCAGATGATACAAAGTTTTCTGTCGACATGAAATATTCGGCTTTGATGAAGTATGAATATAAAGTTGCTTATCATTTAAGTTTAAGCTAGGCACCAACCCCTCTTCCTTCCTCCAACGTTGTGAAATCACCGATGAACCGAAAAAAATAACACAATCTTTAAATGGCATAAAATGGAGACTTTTTCTATGGAAAAAATGGGAAATCACTTCTCCATTTTATGTCATTGGCTCCCCCCCCCCCCCCCATCTAGACTCATGATCAGCTCCTCTAACCTGAGAATCGTTGTAGTAGTACCACTGTCGATTTGGGTTAAGTGCAAATGCCATGTAGTGACCTCCTCCTATTTGACCCGTGTGAGAAGTTACCGCGTACAGGTCGTAGAATGGTCGAATGTCGTTAGCTTTCTTAGAAGTCTGGAAGTAAGAAGTAGTAAGTTATGGAGGGGACGGAATTTAAAGTAGAGAAGTAAAGCTGGTTGAATTTGGGTAAGTTAGTGCGTAGGTAGACCATCATTAGACAAAAACTTCAATTCCAAAAAAGCAGAAAATCAGACATTATTTTCTCAAAACCAGACTAAAGATATACTCACGGTATTAGACTTCATACTGTTCGTAATGTAGCTTGAACTGTCCTTGCTGGATTCGAATGGGTTCCGGTTGTTGGAGTTCATGACCTCGTCATCGTCCATACTCGCTATTGACACCTGGTGACAATCAAGATAAATTATATCCGTCGTCAAGATCCAAAGTTAAGCGGTGTCACATGGCCACAATATTTACTGTAGATATGCCGAATAGGGTCTGGGCTTTCACTAGACAAATTTACCAAACTCGTAATTACACTCACTGCTAACAATATCACGTGGCGTGCACCCAAACTCGCGCGCAAAAATGCAAGCATTCAGAAATGACGAAAAGATATGGCACTCCACTGTACTGTATAGGCAAGGACCCTTAAGCACGAGGTCCTGGGGCAGGGCGTTGGAACCACTAAAAGTAAAAACCAGGAACAAGGAAGCACCGACAGGATCACATTTTTCACTGCCAGGCAGGACTTCAGGAAAAGTAAGTCAACAACGAAAGATTGAAAAGAAAACCTCTCACCTCATCATAATCATCACCCCCGTCACCCTCGACAAGCACCGTGTTGTGTGTTACACTTTCCGTTCTCATCCTGTCAGACAAGCTTATCTGACCTGGAAAGATGTGGTGAATGAAGTTTGATAATAGACAAAGTACCAATTCCTCAAAATATAAAAGAAGCGAAGATATTTTCAGGAAGTCTCTGACCTAAATCGAAATGAATTCGGAAATTGGAGTTGAGGAAATTAGTACACACAATAAAAACAAAAAACAAGCAAACATTTTGAAAAATCCCGGTTTGATCCCGGCCGATTTTGACCGGGACCGGGATTAAGCCGGGATTCTGGTCGAGCCTTGATACAGTTCTTTTGTATGATTTTAGGAAATCGCATGATTATGATCAGTGATTCACAACTTCTTGCGACAAATGTCGATACATAAAAAATACCTCACCATAAATTCATCACAAATGACAATAATATAAGATTACACCTACTTGACTGAACTAGGAATGGAGATGGGTCGAAGCTGTCTTGGAACGACACCGTTCGTTTACACTTCACCCATTTACCACCTGCAAATAGTTCAATTATTCTTCTTACCAGCTTGTGGTCTAGTAATACATGTATTTTGATCATGGATAAGATTCAGTGTTGGTCGATCGGACAAGTTTTCTTAGAAATTGAACTTCCGGTGCCTCTAGTTTCGATTTAAACAAACATTGCATCGATCTTAGCTCGCACGCGTCGAGATTGCGCGTTTTTCGCGCGATTGTTCAATGGTAAATAACATTCGGAGTTCACGGCGGGACGACACAGAAGACATTTCCCTTCATCATTGTAGAGTTTACGAAGATAAGCTTTCAGAGGTCTCACTAAACTGCTCGTACTTATAGACACTATGATATGAACAACTAAATAGCACCTTAAACCCAACTTGGAACCACATCCAAGGGCCGTACACACCCCAGAAAAGCTATAATTCAAGTCAAAAATATATTCACTCTGCCCTGTATGCGATTTGTGTTCCCGGGTAGGTGGCACAGCTATAATCTTCCAATCTGTAATTATATTCGCAAAGTTCACCAATCACCATGCAAGGATCCCATTTATTTACGGAAGATATACTCTAGTGGCGGGTATGTAAATATTTGGCACTTTATTCAGGATCAATCAGGTGGTTTAATAACCTTGGAAGGAAAACCGCTTAAGATGTATGATGAGGAAAGGAGGTAATTTCCAGATATCAAGTTTCTTGATCGCAGTCTTGTGAGAAGAACACCGTGTACAGTACCTTTATCAGGGAGATAAGGAGTTAAGATAAGAGTTACATTAGGGGTCACGTTCACATATTACGTAATCAGCCGAGGGGGGAGGGGGGGGTCGGGTGGGTTTCCAAATGATTACGCTGGTGTAATTTTGACACAATAGCTATGTATAAAACTGAGCACGGAGGGGGGAGGGGTTTAAATTTGTCCAAAAAGTGATTACGTAATATGTGAACGACCCCTTATTACAGATATTGAAGAATCTGTCAATTTCTAGTCAAGCCTTGAAAATTCGCCAATAAGACCAGCAAATAAATACGTCAAGCAAGATGCAGGACATTGAAAAATACTTTTGGTAACGTTTAAAGGATCAAACAGATATTGTATAAATGATAGATTATCAAGTAATTTGAACGAATAATGAACCAAACCATTCAGCAATCTCCTCTTCTTTTGTGAAACCTTTCAGGCAAAGCGATAGGTCGACCGACTGTGACTGCCTCAGTTTCGCCTCTTTAACGCTGCTATCCTGAATTATAAAACTCAATAATCTAGCTTTCTCTTGATATGTATCAGTATTTATTTAATTAATTTACTCGAAAAGTTAGTTCATTAGAAAAAAACGTGGATATTTACAATATGAATATAATAGCTGATGTATTGACAATTACAGTTGTTTTTAAATTGGTTGAAATTTATTGTTGGTGAAATCCATGTTTTTGTGTGCATTGTGCAAGCTAATCAAGATTAATTACATTTTGGCTAAACTGCCGCAATTCTTATCGCCGAGAAAAAAGAAGTATGGACTATCTGCATGTTTCATTTTAAAACAAAGTGCTTTACTAAATTTACTAAGAACCTAATACGTATCACTACAAAGTAATACAACAGACTTGGGCAAGTAAATAGTTGGCTAGATCTATTTAATTGTATCATGACGTAGCGATTTGTAAATATTACATTCAAATTAGTAAATAAACGTAATTATGGATGATTCTGATTTAAGCATTGCATAAAATTTCGCATATTTGTAGACAACAGACATATTACTATAATCAGACGAATATATGATTTGTTCTAATCTAAGCTTAGACTTACCTGAAGAATAGTTACATCGTCATCATATTGCCTGATAAGGTGAACAACAGCAGAACTCCAATCAACTGTCAGATAACCGCAATCTCCCAGATCTGCGGGACAACAAATGGTTTCAATAGATAAAATTAGAAAACTAGCCTTTTAAAACATTATATCTGAAAATTAAGATATTTAGTCCACTATTATAGTATCAAGCTGATCAAACCATTCCATTAGGAAAATAACTCAAACCTGGATCATCGAGAAGTTTGTGTCCATAACATAGCTCTCTCCACTGACAAATACAACAGTCCCTTCCGCCCTGTTTCACTTTATTGATATTGATATTGTACATCATATTATCAATAAAATCGTCATCAAACCCGTACATCTTAATCAGATAATTCCTAATCCGCTCCCTGATGGTCACAGACTGGCTGACATCCTGGGACGCCATGGTGGGGATAATAAAGGGGGTCCCGAACAAGTTAACCTGACGGTGCTGCCAGTCGAAGAAGTACTTGTCAATGGTGACGTAATGACGTGAGTAGACCACCACGTAGTCGTCAGGTTTGGGGCCCTCTCCCGGCAGCTCGAACGCGTATAGAGGGAAGTTTATGTTGTGGAGGGGTTGGTCGATGCCGATGATGCGTTTAACCACGCTGTTCTCCACATCTACGAACAGGAGGTGTTTGATGGCGGGGATCTTGGCGATGAGGCGTTTGCGGACGTGGTTGAGTGTGTATTCGTTGTTTAGCCAGAGGCAGTATTGGGTGGTTTTATTGTCGGGATCTAGTCGCACTACGAATACCTGGGTCAGAGATTTTATTAATAACATGTATAATTTTTATATAATATAACATGTGTTTATACATAAAACAGTATTTCATAAATGAACCCCATCCTTTCATTTAGGACATATTGCAGTTTCTTCACGCTAGTCTTTGTAAAAAAAGATAACATAAAAAGACCGAATATTTTAAAAATAAATAATAATAACGTCACGTGACAAGCAACATCTTTTTCTAACCTCGATTATGACATTTTCATTCTCCGGTAGGGGAAGGGAGAGGAAAGAGAAGGGATCGAACGTAACTGAAGTGAATCCACACGTGCAACATCTTAGGGTCGACTTAAGTTGTCCGTGGAATAGATCCACGATAATTGACCTGATCAATTAGTTCATCATTAGTAAATCTGTTAAAAGTTTGTCATAATCTTCCAGTCTTAGTAATTGATAACGATACTGTTATCACTATTAATCTACATCCATTTTTATTTTCTATGATTGCGCGAATATCTTTTTTTTGCACTCGTTTTCGAAATGCTGCACTAATTGGTATTATATAATTGGTCCTATTACCGCCCCTTATATCGCTCCCTAATACCGCGCAGAATATCATTACTACCTCCTTTATATAAAACTAGAAAGCCCGTGGTAACAGGGACGAAGCTAGTAGTATTTTTTGAAAGAAAAATTTAATCGCATCAAAAAAGATCCATCCCGACCGAAGATACAGCCGATTTAAATATAAAACACTTTAAAGTTTAAACACAACGTAATTACCACAAAACGGATAAAAATGACGTTAAAACAATCTTTGCACGTGCATGTGTGCATTAAAACACCGTTGCTATGGAACCTTTTGGTTGTTACCTAAATTCCTATTTCTCGTCTGATTTGCACGTGGGCGGTCGTACATACATACAGACAAAAATAATTCTCTGAATTATAGTAGAGACTAGAAAGCCCGTGGTAACGGGGACTAAGCTAGTAGTCTTCTTCGAAAGACTGTTTTAATCGCATCAAAAAATATCCATCTCAACCGAAGATACAGCCGATTTAAATATAAAACACTTTAAACACAACGTAATTACCACAAAACCGATCAAAATGACGTTAAAACAATCTTTGCATGTGCATGTGTGCATTAAAACACCGTTGCTATGGAACGTTTTGGTTGTTACCTAAATTCCTATATTTCATCTAATTTGCACGTGGGCGGTCGTACATACATACATTCTACATACAGAAACAATTCTCTGAATTATAGTAGAGATTACCGGTTGCGTGCCACGTGGTTGTTCCAGAACTCTACAGAAACTTCTAGATCGGACCGGTTGTTGCTGTCTTTCATTGGTGTGTACGGTTTTGTTGTAATCCTGAAGGGTGATAGTTGTACTTAAATTAAAGTTTCAAACTATTTGGTTATTCAATTGATAATAATTGGCATGATAATCAATTGATTGTGGGATACATTTTCTAAGCTTTAACATTTTCATAGAGCTTATAGATATGGGCAGTTAAAATAATAGCTTCATTACACGTGACAGTGATTCTGGGTTTTGATTGGTCTCACTCCCCACCAGTATCCAGATCTATTACAGCAAAACCCCAATTTACCGCGGAGTTTGGGGGAAAAGAAACATCCGCGGTAAATCAGGGTTTGCGGTAAATCGGGGCGCGGTAAATCGGGATTTTACTTTACTTTATTATAATCACCTGTTTAGATCTTCATGCAAACCATCCAACAAGAAATCAAGCAACTCCTGTGCGTCGTGTTGCCCAAACCCGCTAAACTGAGGTGCGAACTTGCCGACAGTCCACCGCATCTTGAGAGGCGCTATCGTACGTGATGAACAACTCCACAGATTCTTTATTAGAGTTCCGTACCTGAAAATCTAGTCGTCAGAAATGTGTAGCTATAATGTTAAACGGAAAAATGAATTATGATAAGCGGGAATGTTAGTCAATCCAAGGAAGTCGATGGGGATTTGAACATGCACCCTAAGTACTTCTCCATATTCATAGGTGAAAATAAGTTTAAAAAGTGACACCTTAACCTAAGCTAAAATTTGTTAAACCTGGCTTTTTTTGCGAGAGATTCAAAAAAGGTTTTTGCAACATCAGTTTAAGTTATTATTAATTCTCTGGGTATTTGTCCATGTGCTTGCTGTGACAAGATGATCAGGGTCCCTGTCATGTGCCTGGGGCAAAAGGGCAAGGTGTCCACCGAAATATCGATCACCCTGAGACCACAAGGGCTGAGGGGCAAAACATTTGGAGCAAAATGATCAATTTTATTGCTCTCAGGGACTTTCAAACAGGTTAAATTAACCTCTCTTCAGTTAAATTTCCTTCAGTATAATCTTTTCACATGAACTTTTCAAAATTTAACCTGGCTTTGAAATGTTCACCTAAGGAGAGGGACTGAGAGGATACTGTAAATTAAATTATTTTTTGTAAGTAGTGCTGAAAGTACATAACTGTGTATTATAATAACTGTGACTTATGAGACCATTCACCAGAATGATAATTACATTTAAAAGATAAACCAATTAAACACCACAAATGGTAGCAACTTAATTAACTCACTTACCTAAGAGCTAGAAGACCGTTCAAGCTGTCCGGATTATTCTGGTTCAGTTCCTTCTGGTGCAGCTCCTTCAGAAAATATACCGTCAGAGCACGGGTGTTACTGAGACACTGAGAGAGAGGAATGTTATTTAAAGAGAGAGGAATGTTACTATTTAAGTAATGATTCATCAAGTCAACATCACAATATCATTTGCATTGCTGAAGGTCCCATAGCATCCACATACTGAGATACAACATTATGCTAATAAGATTTCAATTCCCTACACTTTAATCTATATAAAGTCGACAGAGGCTGACCAGACAATGATCTAATTAACGTCCCAAACTTTCACCAAAATAGAAACTGCAGCAACGATTGTGGTGAACAAACTAACACTACGCATTTATTGTATAATTTCAAAAGAAGCCCTGAAAATTGAGTCTAATTTTTGAGTGAAATTCAATTTACACGAAAGGTAAGTCTAAACAAAATATTGTCTGTGTTTTATGGCTTAATATCTTAAGTTCTAATTTCATCGAATTTTTCGTTTCGATGATATCTAAAGTTTTAGCTATTTTTGGGGAGGCTATGGGACCTTTAGAATGGAAGCGTTAACGTTTTTGAGATAAATCGAATGATAAAAACTGTGAAATCAAACTCAAGATAAAGCATCACCTGAATGCTGCTGTTCATAAAGCAAGTATTGCCCAAGTTGTTAAGACCCGTTGTCCCGTTTACACGTGCAGTTGGCGCGCGCCTGTCTATAACACGATTCTGTGTCACGATGTTCACTACTTCTTCCGGCCAACTCATATCCGTATTCCTCACCTGAATATTAACTATGTTAGAACTTTTAAAAGTATGGCGACCAATTTTAAATTACGTCATGATCGTAAAATAAAAATCCATACTTTGTACAGTACGGAGCTAGATCACGAAGAGAAATTAGAACATAAATTAGAATAAAGCTTTTAACTTTAAACACGTTTCTAGTACTTATAATTTTGTGCTGTTTTTATGTCAACTATGTCGATTGTCGAAGTCTGTAGAATTTGGAGAAACTAGTAAGAAAGAAATAAAGAATACCACTGAAGCACTACCTCAATCAGAATATTGTTGAAATGTTGAACACCTAAGCTATCAAGAGTTTTATCCTCTGTCTCGTCCAGAAGTATTACTTTGTGATTTGGTAGTATTTTCCACAATCTGAGATCTTCACGACCCAGTTTAAGCTTTGTGCTGAGATAAATCACATATATCATCAGCAGTATGAATATTATGTAGTTTCTAAATAGAGTAATGACATATTTATTTGTTTTTTGTAAAAATGTCAGATACCAACACTGGAGCGTTGTTCATGAAACACTGTGTCTGTCATTTTGCACCATGTGACATCACCACAACACCACGTGACATCACCCCAACACCACGTGACATCACCACAACACCACGTGACGTCACCACAACACCACGTGACATCACCACAACAACACGTGACGTCACCACAACACCACGTGACATCACCACAACACCACGTGACATCACCACAACACCACGTGACATCACCACAACACCACGTGACATCACCACAACACCACGTGACATCACCACAACACCATGTGACATCACCACAACCTTAACCCACCTCAAGAAGTCGATAATAGAACTGAGCGTATCATCAGTATAGAACACCCCAGTGTAACTGAGTACATGACGTGGAATATCAGAGACTGCATTGAACTCAATACTGGACTGCAGGTTGAGAGGGATAGAAGGGGCGTTGAGGGCTTCTTGTGCCGTGTGGGTCGGTCTCGGCTGCCTAAATAGAACAATAGCAATGTATAGCAATATAATATAGTATTATATATAACAATATAAAGCAAGAATTGCGCCCGTTTTCTCAACGATAGGCGGACACTAGATAGTAGATTCCCATCCACTACCTATGCCGTGGAAATTGGGCCTATACAATATAATAACATATCATTATTATAGTATTACATTTCAGACTAAGAAATACTAATTGGGCAGTTATTAGTTATACGATGGTTAACAAACTTTCCCTCGCTTCACCGTTACGACTACTGATAACTACGCTACCGAGGTGACAATGACTTGCAATTGATCCAAATTCACTGCCAACATTTTAAATAGATTTAAATTCTTCAATTCCTTGTTACAAAATCTTTTCTTGGAGCGGAACCCCTACATTCTTATCGTTTTTATCTTCTAAAAAAAGTGGCATAATTTGCATTATTGTAAAATTCAATTTATAAATTTCGAGATAAGGTAGCGATAAGAAATTTAATGTTTCATGCATATTGGAAAACAGGATGTGCAAAAAAGACATGGCTTGTCTTTTTCCTTTTTCAAGGTCATAGGAAAAATTTGGTAGGGGCACCAAAATTTTCAGCAAGGGCGCTATTCGAGCTTTTCATCTAGAATTAAAACAAGTCCTTCATATTACGGAGCCAAGGTATGGACTAGCTGCATGTGCACCTTACATCCCATTACGTCATAATGATACTCAATTATTTGCTATAAGGACACGTTCATTTGAGTTTGAGGATATTGGTAAATATAAGTGACCCTATTAAAAGGCACAGTGTAGTTGACTTTGTCACACTATGAAATTACACAAACCCTTGATGGTTAGGATAATCGTTTCATCCTCTAGGCTAACTTTGTCACTTAACGATATCTTAATCAGGTGATAAGATATCGCTTAAATACGGCCGGCACGGAAATGGTTACATTGTCACACTATAAACATGTGACGGAGTAAATATGGACCCCTTGCTGCCGTTTTTGACCAAATTTTTTAGTGTCCAGTTGATTGGATGGGTACATATGACCATTACCTACATATTTGATGACTTTTTTCGTTAGATGGTGCACTCAGGTTTACTCTGTCACACATTTAAGAAAACATGTGAAGAATGTTTAGGGCACCCTGATAAGCAATGCTGAGTAGTGTAGGTTTATTTGATGGCCTGGAAGTGCTAGGAATTGTTATTATATCATATAGTCGTAAGGAATTAAAACACAGAAGGTACAAACAAGTTTACTTTGTCACATAATCTTGATGATATCTGAACATGTGTGAAATTAAACAAATAATGATATACCAGCTTAAACCCCTTATATTCAAACTATGGATCAAACAACACTGCTAGTACCACGCACCAGTCACATAAATCACTATCGGGTGGCAATATGTTAACAGTGTCACAATTAAACTACCGCAACATGGTCAAAAATAGGGTAATTTCGTCACACAAAAATTATTATAACTCTGTTAGCTCCTTGCTGGCAAAATAACTAGTTCATTGATGATAAAGTTACATAGTATTCTAATAGAAGTATAGCTCTTAAAAATAGGGGCAAGACATGTTTACTTTGTCACATCAGTTATTATAAGAGTTAGGTAATCGTCATCAGATTAACAGATCTTTTTCGTAGTTTGGATCGATTAATATAGGCAATAAAGCATCCTATGCCAATTATAACACACTATCTTGATATTTTTGGGGCAGGGAAAGTTAATTTTGTCACATTTTCAGCATCTTTGACAAATTAATCTAAAATTGTTAAACTTGAGCCCTGATGTTCTAGACAATATTCTACCAATCGTTTCCGAAAGAATGCTGAATTCTAATAGAGTTATAGATCTTCAAAATAGGGGCAAGACATGTTTACTTTGTCACATCAGTTACTATTAGAGTTAGATAATCGTCATCAGATTAACAGATCTTTTTCGTAGTTTGGATTGATTTATATAGGTAATAAAGCAGCCTATGATAATTTTTACACACTATCTTGAAATTGTTGGGGCAGGAAAAGTCAATTTTGTCACATTTTTAGTGATTTTGACAAATTTAACCTAAAATTGTTAAACTTGAGCTCTGATGTTCTGGACAATATTCTACCGATTTTTGTCTGAAAGAATGTTGAATGCTAATAGAGTCATAGAATATATAGATCTTCAAAATAGGGGCAAGACATGTTTACTTTGTCACATCAGTTATTATAAGAGTTATTATAAGAGACTATTTCATTTTATAACCATTATTTTTAACCTATTTACGATTTCGTATCATTTTTTGTGACAATGTAAACACTGATCTTAACTTGCATCAACTACATTGTCATCAAAGTTTTCCCGCCTTTCAAACCAAAATCAGATATAAATAATTCGCCCAAAATTTAAAATTCCAAATATTGTGGCGGAATTTACCTCATTTCCCAATAACCACCTGACCTATGTTGAGTTTCGTCAAGACTTGAAATTGACGGGGCCATCACATCTTCTGACCACCCCATAGCGAAGTAGAGTCTCGCTCGTTGCGCCAGCACAGCAGAGAGTTCGTATTTGGAGGAGTATATCCCCTGATCGGCGGCTTATCAGGGAGAGACAACATGAACTTTGTGAGCTTATCTTTGAAGTGCTCTAGATCTTGAATGACATTCAGATGGTAGGGGATTGCATTCCACAATTTAGGTCCCTGAACTGCAAATGAGTTGTCAAACAAGGTGAGGTTTGCTGTTGAACTGGTTCTACGTTTTGATGGAATTACTGCAAGGTTTCCAAGCCTTGGGCGTGAAACAAATAGAACGTTCAGATCATTGCTGGTCTTTCCGTGGAGGATTTTCCACATATGGAGAATGATGAATCGCTCCCGCCTTCGTTGAAGAAACATCAGAGATAGATAGACCAGGCGATCCCAGTAGTGGAGATCGCGCATTCCTGATATTCTGGCGGTGAATGCTTTCTGTACACTCTCCAGTTCTTGGATATCGCTGATTTTTGAGGGATGCCATAATGGACAGCAATATTCAATCAGACTTCGAACCATTGATTTGTATAGCGTCAGCATGATGGAGTGAGATCGTGTGTGAAATACACTGAGAACCCATGATGCTTTTTGGCGAGCTTTATCTGCAATGGCTCGTATGTGAGGGGACCAAGAGAGATCACTTGACACTATGACGCCTAAATCCCTGAGCTGATGTATTGGCTCAAGTATAGTGTCTTTGGAAACTGAGTATTGATAGTGTTCAACCACAAATGGAAGTTCAGATAGTACATATTGGTGGTTGAATTTATGACACATGTACTCAAATTTGTCTTTGTGAAGGGCCATATTATTTCTTTCAGACCAGTCAATGACATTTTGCAGATCTTCTTGGAGGAGCTTGACGTCATGCTCCGATTTGATAGCAATGGATATGCGAGTGTCATCAGCAAAACATCGAATTATAGAGTGCATGATACAATGTTCGATATCATTGATAAAAATCAAGAAAAGGATCGGCCCCAAAACAGTACCTTGTGGAACTCCGCTGATTATCAGTGCAAGGATGGACAGATGACCGTCAACAACAACTGCTTGTTTCCGGTCTGAGAGGAAAGATTCTATCCACTTTATGATTTTAGGATGGATTCCATAGAGTTGGAGCTTTCTCAGTAGGAGTTTGTGATCGACTTTATCGAAAGCCTTGGCATAGTCGAGGTATATTGAATCAAAATCTGAATTGTTGCTCAGAGAATCCAAAACGTCATCAAAATGGTGGAGAAGTTGAGTAAGGCAACTCCGGCCAGATCTAAATCCGTGCTGCCTTACTACATATGAGGTTGTTGATCTCCAAATAGTTTACCAGCTTTTTTCTTATCACCCTCTCGTATACTTTAACCACATGAGAGGTGAGTGATATAGGTCGGTAGTTAGCTGGTTTGGCTCGACTATCCTTCTTGTGGAGAGGAAATACGTGTGAGAACTTATAGAAACTAGGGACCTCCCCAGTAACTAAAGAGCGGGACCAGATGATGTGCATTGGTTCTGCTAGGGCTTTCTTGCAGTTCTTGAGAAGGGTGACTGGAATTTCGTCAGGACCTGATGCAGCATTAGGTTTGATGTCTTCAATGGCCTTAATGATGTCGTCCACGGAGAAATTCAGCATATCGTCAGTAAAAGGATGCTTGATTGGAGGGGGACTGAAAGAAGCAGAGTCGATCCGAGTTTTCGAAGGATCACTGAATACTGACAAGAACTGATTCTGCAAGAGGTTGGCAATATCTTTTGGATTTGATTTGATGGCACCGTTTCCATCAAAAAGCATGCTGATGTTGCTTTTCTTCTTCGAAAATTTCTTAGCGTAACTATAGAAATACTTGGGATTTTCTTTTACCTTGCTTACGGCTTGCTGTTCACGGTACAGGAGATCCTGGTTGATGGCATCACGAATATCCATATGAGCGAGAGCAAGTTTCCGGTTCAAAGATTCAATCTGTGTGGGAGGGCTATGAGGATTAATTTTTGCAGCCTCTAGCTGGGTTTGAAGCTTTCGTTTTCTGCGAGAGGGGATGCGCACAGATGAGCGAGTTTGGGTTTTGGGAGGGATCTTCTTCGGACAGCCAATCTGGCAGATTTGTAGAGTAATAAGAGTGAATAGCTCTGGAAAATCCTCTTTGTCGCAAAGGTTGATGAGTTGAGCCCAGTCAACAGATGAGAGCATGTCATTGATCGATGAAAAATCTGCTTTATTAAAGTCTAAGCTTCTAAACGAAGAATCAATGAAATCCGGAGGATCTGAATGAGTAGGAGAACAAGGATTGTAAGACAAAAATATCTCTACACGTCTGTGATCTGATAGTGGAGTGTCCGAAATAGAGACGTGAGAAACTAGATCCTCTGAGTTTGAAATGTACAGATCTAATACATTTCTGAGTCGGGTGGGTTCCAGCACATGTTGAGTACATAGATTCTCAGACATGAAGTCAAGTAAAAGAGCTGCACTGTAAGTTGAACATGAGGAACCACCGGGTAAGATAGAATTAGTGGACCAGCCAATGAGGGGAATATTAAAGTCTCCAAGAAGTGATAGCCGGTATTCGCCATCGCCACTGGCAATGTACTGGTCAATGAAGTCCAAACATGATTTAAAACTGGGAACTGGACACTCGGGCGGGCGATATAGAACACAAATGATTGACTTTTCAGATTCGCTGGTACACATCAAAGCCTGACAGTATCTATCATCATATGTCTGGACGTTAGTTATGGGGAGTTCATCATGTGTATAAAGTAAAACTCCACCTCCAACCCTAGCTTCTCTATCACTTCTGAACAGAGAGTAACCCGGAATTTCAAGTTGAGCATCCTCAATGTAAGACTTAAGCCATGTCTTTTTAGCTAACTATTCGAAACAACATATTTTAGGGCTATGATTGGTAGATCAACCATCAAATAATGAGTTAAAAGGTTTTTGAGGACATCTCATAGTAGAATAGAGGTATGGTATTCTGAGTGTGACAAAGTTACCCAAATATTGCCTTGTAACCGTTCGATCCGTGCCCTTTAACCAATGTTGTATCATAATTGTTAGATTGACCTAATCTACTATATTTCAGACCAAGGAATGATATTTTGACAACTGCAGTTAACTAAGTCACACAAAATGTGACATTTGAACCATTATAGTGCCTAACAACAATAGATTTTCTTTCTGAGCAGTGCATATGGGAGTATGGGTTACGTGGCTAATGTTCAGAACTTCTGAACGTGCTAGGTTAATAGATGTCAAAATTAAGCCACTATCGTCGAAAACGCTATCATTTTTGTTTACCAATATCCTCAAACTCAAATGAACGTGTCCATAAAGTAGTGTTGAAAGTATTGGAAACAATAAGTTGCCGGCACAGCGCACATCGACAGAATTGCAGCAGAGATCAAATAATTATAATGATAAAATCAATAAAATGATTAACCAAAGAAATTAATAAATACTTGTAGAAGTTAAGTTTGAGAGGGAATAGTTCCAAGATAACAGTACCAGTAGGGGTCAGTCTGGCTCGTCTACATATTGCTGTGTCACAGCCGTACCAGTCTTCTAGTGTACACCACAGAACCTGCAAATTGTTACAGTAAATACAAAATAATAAATAAACATTTATTACACGCTTCGACATTAAAATATGCCCAACAAAGATGTACATTTAAGTCATTCAAGCGAGACTTAGTGTGGAAATATCAAGATTATGTGCTTCTTCATTAGTTCAGAATTTATGGATAAATATTGGTATTACCAAAATTATATTTATAGTAAATGTATCAGTCATGATGGTATCACGTTATGTCAAATATGGCTGAGTTATAAGCCAAAAACTATACGTCCATATTTATTATTTACGCACCAATTTAGATATATTTTGGAGTATAAATTAGTAAAATATCAATTATAAAATATCAATTATATACTGTATATATTTTTGAATGAAACTAACTTTATAAGAAATGTAAATCTAAACTACATAATCCTATCTGTGATATATAGCTCAATATCTGTTGAAATGTGGATACTAAGGCGAAAAGATCGCCAAAAATGAACATAATTGCCTGTATCTTGGTTCATGATATTCGCGAAAGTTGAAATAACCCAATCAGCCTTCAATATTTTTGCATGAAATCGATGTAGAATCGCATCTCTACCTTATTGTGGGTGATTAATTTTTGATTTAGGTGATTTGGAATAATTGTGCCAAAAATGAATCAAATGATTTCTTAGCATCAATAACATACGATCTTAATTTAGAGAAGACATTTAAAAATATCCTGACCTGCGAGATAATCTGATAGTCGACCCCCTGAAGTAGTCCAGTTCTCAGGGTACCTCCCTCTCTTGTTATGCTGGGTACTGTTTTGTGTCCTGTAAAGAGAGGGTGTTAAGGTGATACCTCCCTCTCTTGTTATGCTGGGTACTGTTTTATGTCCTATAAAGAGAGGGTGTTAAGGTGATATCATCACCCATCTGACACACCTTACAAACTACAAGGATAAAGTCACAATGCCAAGTTTTACAAGTTAAAATGTTTTACTTTTACAAAAAAAGGTGTTTTAATCGGATGCCCTCTGCTTTCAGGTTTGTATTTAAGACAAGTAAATTCCTTAATGTATGCAGGTAATTGAGAATATGATCCTTACCGTTTACTTGTCCTGGAGCTAAGATAGGACTGTTGTTAACGAACCCACCCGATCCTTTGAACCACTCATTATTTGCAATGTAGTACATCTTTCCTGTTACAAGCAATGTGATAAACAATAACAATAGTAGAAAACCTGATGAAAGTTTGGAAGCAATTTCATTAAAAGTACATGCTGATTGATTAAATCAGAAGCAGTTAATTCTAAACTAATCAATAAACATTTACCAGTAATAAGATTCATGTTAGCCTCCATTTCCATCCACTGGCGTATAATGTTAAAGGTGAGGTCGGGTTTAACCCCGAATACAATGTAGACTATGTTCTTTAGGTGAGATAGGAACTTGTACATGGACAAACTGTTGTTGCACCAGTGGATAAACTCTGGAGGGATAATTATATTTATGATTATGTGCATGTATTAAAGATAAAGTAAAATTAAATGAAAATTCGGTGAAAAGGGATGAAAAAATTAACTAAAAATTGAATCTAAAAAGCAAAACAGGCTTGTTAAATTGTAGGAAAAAGTCATAGAAACCAAGTGAAAGTGAAACTATTAACTAAGTGAAAGTGAAAGATGCTAAAAACTGACCGCTGACAGGGATAGAACCCTCTGGAAGGGTGTGGTCAGTGTCCAGCTTGAGCGAGTCTGTGACTAGACAAAATGTTGATATCATCTGAAGAGGAAAATTTTAACCAAAAACTACTTCAAATAATGGAATATTATATGAATTCAAATTTTAGTATAAGAGTATAAGTCCAAGTTAAAAAGAATGTTATTTCTACTTTATTCCTACCTTGTTTGGGTGCCCCTCTTATTTTGGACGGTTCTATTTTATATTAATTTATTGCTGTACTCTGTAAAATTTGAAAAGTATTTAATTAATCTTTACAGAATGAAGTTGAGACAAATGGATAACAAGTTATCCAAAAAGTACATCCTTGCAAGACTTTTGAAGCACCCTGTATATGTACATACCCGAGTGAAATTCTCAACCTCGTCTGGCAGCAGAACACCTGTTCCGTTCTCGTCGAACATATCGAACACAAACTTAGCAAAACTGTCTTCCCCTTCAAGGATAGCGGACAGACCGATTACCAGTTCTCTGCAGTCGATAGTTCCTAAGTACAAGTGTGTATTTTTTATTATAAGGACAAAGTATTGCTTTAATTAATTTCTTAAAGATACATTATAGGTAAGATTCTGTGTTCTGATTATATCTTATTATACATATTATACTGGTTCATTGCTCTTGTCGTAAAGAATGGCCAGGAAATTTCGAATTGAAAATAAACAGATGTTGCCATGTGCTTTTTGGTGCGTCATTAAGCCTGCATGGAAAAAGAGAAAAGAACACGCAGTATTTTAGCTCAATTTAAAAATAATCTGCATAACGTTTCGAGCTATTCAATCTTAATCTTGAATCGTTTAACTTACCATCCTTGTTGAGATCGAAAGCGTGAAAGAAGCGCTGAGAGAACTCGAAAGTGTAAAGAGGATGAAGACACTGGTACATGGCATCCAAATCAAATCTCTTAGATCGGGAGAACAGCATCCTCAGTTTATTGTAATGTTTCTCTGTGGGTGGTATCACGTGACTTTGATAAGACTGCAAGTTTGTTTGCATTTCTTGTATCGTTACGGGGTTGATTTGAAGTTTAAATTACAACGTTTTAACTTTTTCCAAAGTTAGTCTATCTAGGATGTAAAAATAGGGTGTTAGCTTATCAATTTCGAAAAAGATTTCCGTTGAAAAGAATAACAAATCAGACGCCCATCAATAGAGCCCTTAGTTATAGTTATACACAATACACATTACTTGTATCCTACCTAGAGCAGTGACTTGCTTCTCAGTAAAGGAAGCCTGCTCAGCCAGGAACTGGTGGTATGTCTGGAATGCCCGGACTCCCTGGCAAATGAAACCGTAGCCCTCGTTATCAAGAACCCAATCGTACACACCTGCAGTTATCAGATATGGTTACTATGGTTACAGTACTGATTATTTCTAAGAGATTCGTGTGCAATTTTACAATACCCAGTATAATTCAGTATTATATTCTTGCATTGATTATATAGTTATGATTATATAGTTAGAGCGAGAATAGAAATTAATGGAACCATCTGTGAATTTATTCACAGGGTTTATTACTCTTGCCCTAACTTATAAACATTTACCCAAATTTGGTGAGAATTTCTCGATCCATTTTAGAAAGTGTTCGAAAGAGCAAGCCTCCGAAACAGTGAAGAGAAAATCGAGGTTCTTAGGAATCTCAATACCCCAGGATACGAGGCTACTCGCCATGTCTTCTTGAGAAACCTGATGGGTCGCGTTACTAATCACGTTGACAAACATGTGTCTCAATCAGTGACGTAACGAAGGGCCCCGCCGACCCTGGTGTGTGAGGGGTGAGGGGGGTGGGGGGGGGGGGGCGGGGTCGTCATCTTAGGGGGGCGGGGTCGCCATCTTAGGGGGGCGCCAACAAGCAACTGTTCTCATTCAATCGCAAGATCAATTTCAACAGCAATTATTGCTCTTTCAGAGTGAGAATAATTCGCCATTTCTAAATATCAGACGACACAGTTGAACAAGAAATACTGAGATACTGAGATACGGACAGGTCACTTACAGGCTAACAGTTAGATTAGTCGGTTTCCATGTTAAAGTTGTTTAATAAATTCAGGTTTATTATTAATATTAAGTTAATCTTTAAAAGTATCACTAACCTTGTTACCATCACTTGACATTGAGTAGAAAAGAAGTTGTAACTTCTCACTTCGAGTGCCTCGTATCATGATTACTAAGCCGACTAGTAGCTTCTCCAGTGAGAGGTTATCGTACGGAGCGAACACTTTGTACACTTGTGCTGTAATGGGATTACAGTTAAACCCCGACCTTTTCTTCCCCACATTTTGCTTAACATGTATTTTGTATAACGTGGACAAGCAAAACCCTGATTTACTGCAGATTTTACTTTTCCCCAAACTCCGCGGTTATTCTACTGTATTATATTGACATCGTGAACCCTGATCTTAATAAATCATTTTTTATCTTTTACTGAGTGTGTGAAAATCAGACAATATCATAGGTAAGTTTGACAAAAAGTTAAAAGTACCTGAAAACTTTTCAGGAAACCCCAAGAAAGCTTTAGAAACAAAACTGGTCTGATCCGGCAAGCCAAGCAGATCTTCGTACGATGTCTGGAGATGCTCATACTCTTCAGCTGTTATCCTTGACAAAGCTTCTTCGTAAGTTATAATACTCGTTACCAAGGGTTTCACGCTTTGAGAGTTCCCCATTTATAACTTTTGATTTAGCAGCAGGTGAGATTCAGCAGATTATCAACTAGATGTTGTATTGTTGTCGAGCTTGAGTGTCATGATTTTGGGCTGACGAAAACATTTGAGGTAAGTTGGCAAGATGGGCATCAAATGCTCATTGACAATATTTAAATTATGATGCAGGCCCCTGGCCCACAGACTTATGGGATTGGCAGGTTTTATTATTCAATCATGATGAGCTATTATATTAAGAAACATTAAATTGTCCTCAATTTGATAAATTATGTTCAATACATTAATATTACTACTGTGATATCTATATCTACTACTGGTAATAAAAAATAGTACATTGTAACTTCAATTATTTAAGCTAAAATCTCATTACTATTGATCTGCAAATCTCATTAAAGTAATTAATGACAATGTATGTAAACAAGCCAAAAATCTAAAAGGATCTTATATATATATCAATTAATATTAAACATATTATCTAACACTAATATGATAATATTACCGTACTATAAAGACGTGATATGATGGGCAAGAAAAACCACAAGAAATGGAATACATAATGTACATTTTTAGAAAGGACTAACTTCTACACTCTACAGTACTTATAAAGTCCAATATCTTGATTGCTATGATTTGATGCATTAAATTGCCACATTATACTGAAAACAAAAAAAAAGAAAATGAATTCCAATCATTATTTCAATGTGAGGAAATTGATAGGATAATATTTTTAACAAGCTCACAGCTACTTATAATAATTAAAATGTCATGTTTTTATTGATGAAGTCTGACAAGAATTGTATACTAATATCTCACAGGTGCAAAACACAAATAACAAATTTTATTCACATGATAAACAGTACTAATATTAAGAAACTATTATATCAACAAAAATAAAATTATAAGATTATACATTTTTCTTAGATCCTAGAGAGTCTTTTTCTTCCTAACACTAACAAGACCCCATCAAGAATGCTAAACATTTCTGCTTTGCACTCTAAAAGATTAACATACTTCACCATATATCATAATCATATTGTAATTGATGATCTGGTCACATTACAGCTCAGCTAGGCGCTTAAGTTGAGCTTCAATGTCATCATCAGTTGGTGCTCTACTGCCTCTGACGGAGCTTGGACCTGAATGTTAAATATTTGTAATCAGTTTATAATGTATGCAGAGTTTCAGGATTGAAATATGTAATTTTATGTCAACTAGCTGACCACTGATTTAAACAGACTATAAATAAAAAGCTGCTTAATAATGACAGGATATGATCGTTACATGAATTATGTGCTCAATCAAAAATCCCTTTTTTAAACGAAATATTTGTATTATATTTTTACCAGCCAGAGATGACGAGCCAGCAGTAGGTGCACTGTCCATCTTTCCTTTAACCTCAATACCAATTTCATCAAGCACTTGGTTCATTATCTGGTAGGGTCAATTTATTATGTTCATGAAATCATGTTTTTAATATTCCTAAGGTATACAATTTATCATAATTTGCACAATTTCAAATGTTATGTTATATACTTATATTAACCTGGTTTGATTCTTCTTCATCTTCACTGTCACCCAAAACATCATCCAGAGTGTCTTCCATCATTTCACCAGTCATATCCATCTTAGCACTTTCACGCTCAAAGCCTTGCATAACTTTTGCCATATCCTGTGTCGTGATACACTTTCAATAAATCGAAAATGTACCAAATTTCAAAACTATGACACTAAGAGAATTCTTGCTAGATAACTGAAGATATTTAAGTAGCATTGATTGATACTTTGCTAAATTTCAGTAATTTATGATAGTATAAGTAAAATACAATTTATACTATATGATACCTGGGGATTCATCTGTTTGTTCATCTGACCCATGACTCCTGTTGTGGTTTTCATTGTCTGCGCCATGTTCATGCTAGCTTGCATGGTTGTTGTTTTAGATTTTACAGCTCCAATCTGACCTTTCATACCCAACATTCTCGTTTTTTGCTTTCTAATGTTGATCAGTTGCTTTGCTAAAATCTGGGGAAATTCTTGTAGATTTACAATAAAAAGATAACATTATCAATCAATGACAATTAAATTTAATCTTGAGTGGTTAGGTTAACCATGAAACTTTGCTTACAGTTAAGGTCTGTTTATCTCCCGTTTTGGCAGCTTTCTTTATCTCATTTTGAGTCTGTTGCTCCTGTCGCTCCAACCCTCGAATGTCCCTATCAATATCTCTCTGAGCACCAGTCAGCTGTCGTTGCTGCTGGCGTATTTGCTTCTTTGGATCCGGCTTTTTACCAAACATTCCATAAATGATAACTACATGATGAAAAAGTTAGTATATTTTATGACAGTTTCTGTTTAATCTTGTTACCAATCAAGATGATATTATGATTTATTGGATTTCGTGGCTAGACAGAAATAGTAAAAGTGGGCGTTTAAAAATAGTGTCTACGTGCATGTATCTTCTAAAATCACCTAAATTGTCTAAACTAATCTAAACTAAGCAGGATAGATCTTCAAACTGTTTGGGATGTTATAGACTTTTATTAGACCTATATTTTAAAAGCCATAGTAAAATTAGACATTCGCACTTTTGAAAAAACCACAACTAACTAAACTAGCGTTTTAGCGAGTGCAAATGAAATTTCATTGATTTCATGATTACCTACATACTATACGCCCAAGTTTTTAAAATCACCTAAAAGTGCCAACTTTTGACTAATTCCTAGTTCCTTACACTTTTGTGGAGTTTGGCAAGGCCCAAGTGGCAAGGAATTACATTGGGTCTATTACAGTTGATTACTGAGGGGTAAGAATTGCCTGTAAAAAAGTTAAGGCAGGATTGCCAAAAGCTGCATCCTACCCAAACTAAATTGGCTGATGGAAAGCAATGGCTAACAGTTCGCCTTAATTTCAAATTTGTTTCGAATATTTTTCACCTAGAAGGCCTTATATTTTTTATATATAAAATTTTTCAAACAATATACACATAATAATTGACCGACGACTTAACGATTGTGAGTTACGACGGACTTAACTGTATGGGTCAACTACTAAAACTGCATTGTATACTATCTTAATCATTATACTGGACATGAGATGACGAAGTATCTTGAGCAGCACTTTATACCTCCACTTAGAACTTGATTAGTCACGAACAATAGAATCATTATAAATCAATACAATAAAACATCTTGATCAATAAATGCCTAGCAGCACCAGACAGCAGCCGTGTACCTTTTTCGACTCCACGGAGTCCCTGATGGACTTTTGTTTACTTTTGTTAATAATTTGACCGCAACCTTTCTTTCTCGAAACACAAATCCTACTGTACTTCATTACAGTATTAAGATAATATAAAGCAAATCATGTGAATATATGACTACGAAATAGATCTATAGACTTGTCCATAATATTTAATACCGTATTGATGGTTTTGAATTTTGTATATTGAATTTTAATGTGAAGCGTTTACTCTTCCCCCTCGGCAATTAATTAGAAAGTTAGATTAATGACAATAATTGCCAAATGACGTAGTAGATATAGATGTTCAATGTTGTAGAGTGATTTCAAGAGTAGTGGTCCACAGGGGTCCGAAAAAGCCGTACAGGCACTTGGGTCCTTATCCTTGTCACTAGTCCCAATTGGATTCACTTTACACAAAACATGAATGTTTACAATTTAGACGTACACATTGGCACGATATTTATTAGAAAGCAAACAGTATAAAATAATACGTGCGTGCGCGGCTTGAGCCGCGCCGCATAACAATTTATGCGTTTAGGGGCTGGAGTACGCGTGTTTACAGATTAATGAATTGTTGCATTGTAAATATTTAAAGTTGACGATATATTATGATTTAATAGTAAATTTTTCAAAGCTGGCTTTGGACTTAGGTAAAATTATTATTTATTTATTTAAAAGAAAAAACCACGGATAGTTTTAAATTTACATAGTCGTATAACTATAATCAAGTTAATCCTGTTTTCAAGAATGCGCGGCTTTGGCGGCCAGTTATTGACTTGTACATAAAATTGAATTTTAAATAGAAATGTGAATGTATTAAAATTTAAAACTTTCAAAACGGAGGCTTATAAATATTATTATATTATGATTGTAAAATAAAGGATAAAATTTTAAATTTGTTTCACTAAAAAATTTGTTTCACTAATATAGCATTGACCCTATATAAAATCAACCCTTCAATTCAAAAAATTCCCTTCACAATCAAAAATTACCCTTCAAGGCCTTGTGGCTCCAAGTTAAGATCTAGACTGTTTATATCAACAATGTTTTTTCTCGCACCTCTGTCTCCACGGAGAGAAATCACTGTTGTTCACCTTATATTAAAGCAATTTAGCAATAGAGATCATAACAACTTTGCACAGTTCTTTAAATCAAAGGTCGACAACATATACAACAACATTTATTTAGAACAACAATCCCAAGATTCTCCTAACTCAGATGAATTTGTTCCTCTTTCTAATAGCCCAAAGATAGTACAATTCCGTCATGTGTCTGATGAAGAACTAGTAAGCATCATAAAGAATATGTCTAACAAATTCTGTGATCTTGACCCCATGCCTACAAAGATTCTCATCAAGTGTCTCCCAGAACTCCTTCCTCTGATCTCATTTATAGTCAATGAATCATTAGTTAAAGGTGAGTTTCCTATAAAACTTAAGGAGGCTCTCATTCGTCCAAGTTTGAAGAAACGTGGCCTTGACGGTGAATCTCTATCTAACTATAGGCCTATTAGCAATCTCTCATTCTTGTCAAAAATCATTGAGAAGTGTGTATCTATACAGCTCACCAGTTATCTTGAGGATAACAACTTGCTTTCTAAAGTTCAGTCCGGCTATAGGAAGTTTCATAGCTGTGAAACTGCAACAACCAGAATCCATAACGACATCTTGATAACTATTGACAAGAAAACTAAAGTTGTTCTTTTACTTCTAGATTTGAGTGCTGCCTTTGATACTGTCAATCACCCAAGATTAATCAAGAAGCTAAGATCTGCTTATGGCATTACATTGATTGACGATGTCAATCCTTCGCATCTCGCCGATCCTTCGCATCTCGCCGATCTGTGGTTGCGAGAAGCATTATTTGATGCGCGCGCGACCCAGTAGTGCATCGCGCTACAAGGCATTACAGGCATTGCTCTTACATGGATCAGGTCCTACTTGGCTAACCGTTCATTTTGTGTCAAAGTCAAGGATTCGTCTTCCTCAGCAACTGTTCTTGAGATAAGTGTGCCACAAGGTTCAATCCTTGGCCCCCTGCTATTCATATTGTACACCAAAGATCTTGAGAACATTGCAAGTATGCATGGGTGCTGTATTCATTTGTATGCTGATGACACCCAGCTGTATTTCACTCTTGATTCTGATGACCCATCACAGCTAGAGCACAATATGGAACACTGTATGTCTGATATCAAGAAATGGATGACAAACGATTTCCTTCAACTGAATTCTTCTAAGACTGAAGTCATCGTTATATCCTCTAAATTTGACTCAACAAATATTCCAGCCTCTCTACAGATTGTTAAGGATCAAGAGCCACATGTTGTTAGTGGAACTGTGAAGAGTCTTGGGCTGTATTTGGACAGTTATCTTTCAATGAGTGATCAGATTACGTCAGTGGTTCAAGCATGTAATATTCAGATCAGAAATTTGTGGTTTATTGCATCAAAACTGTCTTTTAACCTTAAGATTCAGCTTGTTCATGCTCTAGTACTCTCTAGAATTGATTATTGCAATAGCGTATATTTTGGACTGAGCTCTTATGATTTAAGTCGTTTACAGAAGGTGCAAAATTCTGCTGTAAGATTTATTTCGGGAGAGGAAGAAAGGCACACACTACTCCACTTCTTAAGAAAGTTCATTTTCTACCGGTTAGATTTAGAATAGATTTTAAGATTGCCCTACTTGCCTACAAGTGTTTAAATAATATAGCTCCTCCTTACTTAAAAGAGTTGATATCTCCTAGGCAGCAAAGTTTAAAAAATGTACGTCTTGATAATGATTATTTTTACCTTAGTTTTCCGCCCTCTCCTAACTATGTAAACACAGAGAAAGCTTTTAGTCACTGTGCAGTTAAAGTATTTAATTCCTTGCCATACGACATAAGATCAGCTGAGTCAGTTACATCTTTCAAGACCAAACTTAAAACATACTTCTTTTCTCTAGCATTTGATTGATTTTGCATTTACATAGGTAAAATGAACTTGTCATGTCTAATTTTCAATTAAACTAAGCTCAGTTAATGTAAGAGCCGCTTTAGAAAGCACTGGAGTTTATCTCCAGGATTAAATTATATCGAGTTATATGATTTAGCTATAAGGCGGTTTATAAATGTTGTATTTATTATTTATTATTATTATTATTTTCAAAATCAGTTTCAAGAACGATTCATATAATTCGATAAGTATATAAGCTATATATATAAGGGCCTGCCAGTAGCTCTTCCGATATAAGTTGGGTTCAAAAAAGGGATTGAAATCTAGCAAGGGTGAATCTGGAAAATTTTCGGAAAATTTTTTTTGAGGGATGTCGAATTCTAGCAGTGATGAATGTCAAGTTGGGCCGGAGCCAGTTATGTGCAGTTATGTCAGTAATAAAAAACATAACGATTATCTTTGATTTCGACCTCATGTGGCAAAGAAGCGTTTTATAAATTTATATAATTCCACTGGCAACTGGGATGTTTGATCTTAAAATAGGATAATGTTTTGACTTTTGATAAATTGTTAACGATATTGTAATTGATAAATAATTAATGTTTATCATGATTATCATTGTCATACGTTGTATGACACGCCGCGCACAAATGCACGGCTCCCCTGTATCATAGAAACTTTACAGTTTCTACAGTTTCACTATAGTGAAACGACCGTGTGGGTCACGACGTGATACCAGTGGCGTAACGTTACTTCTTGGAGCCCCTTGACGGATGTTACTCGTCTAAATTTCTTCGAAGTAGCGCGCACCGCTTTCTTCTCGTACTACGAAGTAGCGTGCGCCGGGCCAAACCATTAACAATGGTCAAGGTTAATTGACGATGTCAATTCATCTCAGCTCCCCAGGAAAAGTTACCGGCCAGCGGGCGCGCCACCAATATGATAGTTTCGATACAGCTGAAGACACTGTGCGTGTCTGTCAAGTAATTAGCCATTACAATTCATGTTTAGATTGCGCGCGCATAGGAATTCTGTCAAGAATAGTTAAATTTGACCACAAAATACCATAAATGTATTCACAATGCTTGGATAATGATGGTAAAAATTTAATCTTTAAAAGAATTTTTG